CCCCCCCCTCTCCCCCTTGCTGACCACATCTCACCACACTCACCCTGCAGGTCACGATCCTGTTTGGCCTCCTCGCCCGTCCCGTCTCGTCGTCTCGGTCCAAGAGAGATTCCCCTCAGCACCAGCACAGTGCTGCCCTTCCAGCCCCACACGCCACTCCACTCCACGTCAAGCCACGCCAAGCCACGCCAAGCCACGCCACGCCGAGGTGTGCGCACGTCTTTAGAATATCCAATTCGGGAAAAAACGGCAAGCTGGCTGACTCTTAGGCGCACTGCCGCTGCTGCCGCCGTCGCTCGTTGTCCATCCGCAGAGGGTGGGGGAGGCGCGGCAGAACCTTTATGAGGGAGGCGAGCAGGAGGACCGCGGCAGTGTGGGCGGCGTGAGTGGCGGCGCGGTAGTTCTGCTTTGGAGACACTCCACACATCGCGGGCCAGGATGGTGTCGACAAGCTTCTGCTGGCTCCTCCTGCTGACGGCCTGCGTCGCCCTCCTCGTCGGGGGGCACGGAGCGGCGTCCGCGCCGTGGCAACCCATGCCGTTTGGAGCTCCTCGTAAGTTTGTGCAAACGACTCAGTATACGGATCTTCTTCGCAAGTTGATGGTCTGCCGTGTGTGAGCTCGTGTCTGATGCTCCTCGACGTCCTGCGCAGTGCTCATGGGCTTCATGCGCCCGCGCCGCGCACCCCTGCCGCCGCCCGGGCCCCGGCCGCCGACGTCCCTCGGAGGCATCCCCGGCCACGGCCCCGGCCCCGGCGCCCCGCCCCCGCCCGGCAACGGGGCGTACGCGCCACCCAGGTCACTCACCTTCAGCGGCTACTTTAGCGGGGCGGGCTCGCCGCAGGGCGACCCCTACGCCTTCAGCTGGGGACCGGCGATCAGGTAAGTGTGAGGTGGTGCGCTCGACGGTGCGCGCGCCGACCCGCTATAGCGTATACTCGTATACGAGTGCCGGCGTGGCGTCTCACCGCTGACTCCGACCCGGCTGTGTCCCAGGAGCGCCGAGGAGGGCGCGCCCGAGGTGGCGCCTGTGGCAGAGCAGGAGCTCCCCGGCCCGGCTGCCGCCGTCCCCCAGGATCCCGCCGCCCCCGAGGAGCCCGCCGCCATCCAGCCGGACGCCCCCGAGAGCTCTCCTGCCCTAGCGGACGCCGACGGCGAGGCGGTGTTTGCGCCGCGACGCAAGGCAGGTGAGTCAGCCTGGCAGCCCGGGGCTCGGCCACCCGCTCGGCAGCCCTGCGCGCCGTGCCCGGCTCTGGCCTACCCTGACCCAATCCACCTCGCTTGGAGCGGAGCGGGGGGAAGAGCCCCAGATAGCGTCAGATAGGCATTCGATGCGATCTCGGTGCAGGGCTTGGAGGCTTGGAGCTGGAGCTAGCCGAAGCCAAACGTTCATCGACGTTGTGCAGGATGTTTTAGGGAAATAGCGGGACAAGCCGGACCTTCCACTAGGTTGCTCCCAAAAATTGTTGGCTCACGCATTAACACTGTTCCTTTTCAGGCTCCGGAGGAAAGAACAAGCCCGGGAAGCCTAGCTACCCGGTCCCGGATAGTCCCGGACAGCAGCCGCCCCGCGGTCCCCCGGAAGATGGCGCCGACGACCGCGGCGGCGACCGCGGAGGCTATGGCACCATAAACGCCTATTTCCCATTCATGTTCGGGGCGGGTTGGCCAATGGGGGGACAGCAAGGTCCCACGGGACCAAGCGGTCCTCGTCAACATGGTCCTCGGGGCTATGGCGCCCCGAACCCTCCGTCCAGCGGCTACGGTGGGGGCAACGGTGGAAGTGGAGGCAACGGAGGTAGTGGAGGCAGCGGTGGCAACGGTGGCGGAGGCGGCGACGGCGGCAACGGTGGCAATGGAGGAAGCAACACCGGAAGCAACGGCGGCGGGAACGGACAACCGGGAGAGCAAGGTGAGGCACATTCAGGGAGAGTGATTGTTGATTTGAGATTGCAACTCTGTCATTTCGGGAAATTTTAATGACAAAAATGCTGTCTGCCAACTGTCCACAGGCAGCGCGGGGTCACCATACTATCCGGTAGCGATCGCCAACAGCTTCAGCACTGGACGCAATGCCATGGCCAGCAGCACCGCCACGGCGTACGGTGGTAGGTCATGACATAGTCTAAAATCTATTTATAATGACATCGTTACGACATCTCTTGAAATTGGGAATGTGTTCCCACCTGTTCAATCTGCATGAGTAGGCCAAGAAGTCCATTCCTATCTGTATATAATTTCTATAAAAAGAAACGAAATAATTTTCTGAAAATAAACTATGCATTTCTACTTTCCTTGCGAATATAATTGAGAAGAAATATATTTTCCTAAAGACAAAGTGGCTTGTATTCTTCACAGGTTTTGTGAAGGGTTGGGATAAAAAAATAACACACTTTGAGGGCAATTCGAGTTTTCTATAAATGAAACAAGTGAACAATACTTCCAAACAAAAATACGAACCCAGTTTCTATTCTTTTTTAAAAGTTTGGCAACGAGTCTTATATTTGATGGTATCACTTTGACTGTTGCAATTCCTCAACATGTTCAACATGAAAATAGCACTCCCATAACTCTCATTCCTCTTTCGCTCCTGTTCGACTTGAAGCTTTGGACACGTCTAAGAGGCGTGCCGTCGGCCCGCGGCTAGCTAGGCCCCTCGGCAAACATCCGCGGGTTAACCCCCGGAGGAATTCCTCTTTACGCTGAGGGGCCATCCAGAAAGTACGTCTGTCATTCGCCGTTGCGAACCTACCAAGTTCAAGGCTTTGCAAGCTCTCATAGCGCCTGATAGTAGGCAACATCTCGCCTGCAGTGCATGCGTGTAGTGCGGGGTAGCCTACCCTGCGTTTCGCAGGCGCCTAGCTTCCGCAATTGTCAAATGAATCTCAGGAAAAAAGACGTACTTTCTGGACGATCCCTTACTTTGCAACCCTGTAACTCTGTAACTCTATCCCAATTCTCCGACACGACCATAGTGTCACTTCCCACTCCTCGTGCTACTCGCGTTCAGTCGCGCTGCGTGATGGCAGGGAAAAGTGTCCGGGTATTTGACAACCCTTACGAGTTCGTCTGAATAGAGAGCTGGGCTGGAGGCGACAAGAAGATAACACACAAACTCAAATTATTGGTGTGACAACCAAATTGGAATTTATATCAATTTTCTTTCAGTCTTAAGTGATTTCAAGACAAACAGTTATTGTCTAGACCTGTAAAAAGGTTGAGGGAAAAGTCTCCAAAGAATAATTTTCTGGTTTTCGTCATAAGGTATTGAAAAATAGGATGTACCATGTAAAAGAAACGTAAATTTCCGATATGTGGCATTAACTTAATACATATTTATACTTTAAGGTCAATAATATGGCTAAAAACATCACATGCACTACTGTTTAAGTACACTCAAAATATACACTATAATACGATGGACAAATTAATAATTTGTTTCGAATAACATAAGCTTCTGGTAAAATACTTTCAATTTTTATACCCTGTTCGGAAAGCCTTCATATTTGATTTTTCTACAAATCGAGTCAGTCTAAACTTTGCAAGTACAAAAAGTTTCGGTTGCTACTTCCTCAACTATAACAAAAGTTTACGATAGGATTCTACACTGCCACCATAGAAAAATGTTTACTTCTCTATGGGTATTATGGATGCGATTATAATCAAATACTGCAGATAGGAGTAAAGGACAATAATGTGGGAAAAGGGTGTAGCAACACTGACCGAAGGCCAGAATCATTCGCCACTCCCCGGTGAAAATATGTTATGATAAATGAAGATTGGAGATGAAGTTTGTAGATCTTGTTGTAAGAGCACCAAAGCAGAAAGCGGCTTCGCACCCTCAGCTGTCGAGGTTCGATAACAACTTGTCGGCCGCTGCTCCTGTAAAACGACAGGGAATACCTTTATCACAGTCACATTCCAAAATATTTCATTAGTTATTAGTAAACGAACTCCCATGTTGAAAACTGAGCAGGGGTGTAAAGATAATATTTCAATGTTAGTGCCGTCGTAAAAGGCGCAGATTGTGCTGGGACGAATTTATGTTTAGCTGCACGCGCACTGCACAGCGGGTCAAGGCGCTGTGGTTGGCATATGAATGCTGCTCCTCCCAGGTCACCTATCAGATCAGATCAAATCTTCCAATTGATTCGCCGATTGAAGAGTCTGGGAAGAAACGAGTGAAACGAGAGGGAGGGTGAAAGTGTAGAGCGTGCACCAGATTGCTAAGATTGCCAAGTATAAAATATCGTCAAATATTTTTGACAGATTGCTTGTCTTTTTTCTCGGCTTTTCCTGAGTTGTCGGAGGTGGATTGCCAATTGGTGTACACGAGATTGCCTGGGTTGGGGTGCTCTCGGCAGGGAGTCGTAACGTAACGTAGTGCGTAACAAAAGCATGCTAAACCAAAAATAGAAATAAAAATTTAAAAGCGTCATTAAAACGTTTTCAACCTTCTGAGAGCGTTGCACACCGGACGGAAAATTTCCAAAATCGCTCCAATTTTGCACTGAAATTGCAATTTTGTTTTCGTTTTTATGCGGTTTTCTCATGCGTCACGTTACTTTACGACACCCCGACCCTTAGTCAAAGCATCCATGGCAAACAAAAAACAATAAAAACTACAGTAACTCGCTTACATGTTTAATACCCTTTTAAAAATACGTTCTGGTTCTTCAGCTACGTACAGTAAATAAAGTCCGAAAACTTGTTTGAACTAGACGATTGGAAGCCCATTACTGCAGCACTTACTATCACGCGAGCAAGCTCACGCCCTCTCCGGGTATGTGGGACGGGGACCACACTGCTTCCGTGATAGATACTAATATTTGTTTGCACTACAATTATTTTGTTGGTTAGAAATCGTGCCGGTTTGAGACACATGGGGCCCATATCACAGAGTTTACGTCAGTGCTTCTATCTTCCCATCCCGAAATGACTATTTGATAAGAAGCCCTCCATTGCCCCGAAGAGAGGTACTTTTTAAAAACTAATATCTTATCTATTAATGAGGTTCTGGATGGATAAGTCATCACCGGTGGGCGTTTAAAAGCGATCTGCAAACATGCATCTATGAGAGACGGGTAACTTGCCCCATCCAAGTTGCTAACTCGCCCCAATTTTGTGGGCCCTGGGGCGAGATGGGTTGGCTACAAGGCGAAATGGGCATGGGACGAATTAATACTATGGGAGCAAGTCATACCGGGGCGAGTTGTCTAAGATCCGCAGCGATCGTGTGTGAAATTATCTATTTGGAGCCACGTCCCACGTCATGTCCCCTGATAGGTTGTGAAAAAAGCACCTTCATCAAACCAATTCGCCCCTGTAGTTTGTGACGATCCCTTCACAAGTATAAAGGCCCTCTACTCGACGTTGAGTGTGATGGACGCTGGCCTGGGTCAACATGGGTCAGACTTACTTGTGACGCAAAAAGACACCCATACTCTGGCAAAGGCCAAAGTCAAAGTATAAGTCTAGCAGCAGCTGTGGCCGTTAGTGGGATAAGAGGAAAATCAACGGTCTAGGGTCGGCAGGGTGAGTCTTCAAGTACAATACTTCTCCCCAGAGTGTCTTCGTCTTTTTGTCATACGCGTTTTGTGTCCTATACGCATCATGCAAGTGCAGGGTGATCAGAAAAGAAGGAAAGCATCTATAGATATTAGAGGAATCGAGTGGGACTTCCCTGGAGGAAGACAGAAGAAAGTGAAGGAAACACAGTCATGCGACATTTATCAAGCAGTTTATTATTAAAAAGTAGAGAGACTAGTAAAAACGTTAAAGATAGGATGCAAGGTAGGAAATACATACAAGATACCAGAAAAGGCAGTGGTTACAACTAGCTGGTTTCCTACAACTAGTAACATGCTGTACGAAATATTTACAACAATACACGATCGATCACATTTCTTATAATCACAAAAATTATATCACAGGCCACATTGATCATGAAACTAAGCTCAGTTCATTCTCTAGAGTGACATCACAAAACAATGGCGTCAGCGTAAGTAGAGATCGAATACATGACACTATTTTTATCACAAAGGTAAGGCAAAGCAAACCTCATACCGAGACAGCTCGGCGTGAGGTCCAACACTGCGAAGGTGCGACAAGTAGTGTCCAGCGCAGTCTAGGCTCCGGTCCATTAGTCTAATAATCAAGGATCTTCACTACAGAGAGGTGCGGAGCGACAGCAGCGAAGAGAAAGTGTCAGCAAAAGCAGTAGTCTTTGCTCTCTACGAATGCCGTAAACAGGGTGGTTGCTCTAGCCCGTACTGTTTGCTGGTAATACTGTAGTACCGCATGAGGCGTACGGGCCGGCTTGCTTATCAACTCTCACCACGGCGCCTTCTGGCCCCTTGCGAGTATGCAACCAGTCCGCACGCCTGCATCCGATACCACATAACCAGAAAACAGTACAGCTTATTAGAACACTCACCCTGTGGATCAGGTGAAATTCCGAAATTCACCAAGATCGTCGACCAGGGTGGACCCTCTGTAGCACCTGACTCGGCAACCTCTGACGGGGTTGCTCCCCGTGGTCGCGCGTGCGGTGTTGGGGTGCAGGCACTACTGTACTACGCGAGCAGAGAGTAGGACTGCAGGCGGCCCGGGGAGCGCGGCGCGGCCAGCAGGGCGATGCGCACGCACAGCCGCTCCTCCACCAGCAGCGGGACCCACGTACCTGTGGCCTGGCCCGCGGCCCTGATGGTCGCGGCCGCGCCGTGGTGGTGGCCGTTGAGCTTGTCGCCCACGGGCTCCAGCGGCGAGCAGCTCTTCACCATCAGGCCGTTCTCGGACGCCTCGTCCTTGGCGTCGTCCGGGACGCAGCGCACGGCGAACATGAGCACTGAGCAGACGACGGGCGGCACGCCGGCCAGCAGGAAGGGCAACTGGTACGAGCCCAGGTGATCGTAGAGCAGGCCTGAAACAAGAAGCGACCATGGCGAGGATGAGCGCACCGAGGGACCTCCTCGGGATCCGGGCCCTCAGGAGGCATAGATAGGCCCTCAGGCAGGCCCTCAGACAGGCCCTCAGACAGGCCCTCAGACAGGCCCTCAGACAGGCCCTCAGACAGGCCCTCAGGCAGGCCCTCTGGGTGTCCGAAGCGGTAATGGCTTACACATGAAATGGATTACACTTTAGGGTAGCCCGCCCCTCAGGCTTCAGGCCCGCTCACAAGCCAACCCTTCCACTGACCTGCGACGAAGGGCCCGATGGTGAGCGGCACGGAGCACAGCCCGAGCAGGCAGCCAATGGCCTGGGTGGCGCCGCGCTGCCCGCACAGCTGGAAGGCAATGGGCCCCAACAGCGAGATGAAGCAGCCGTCAAACAGGCCCATGATCAGCGACAGCACCTTCATCACGGCGAAGCTGTCCGTGACCGTGAGCAGCATGGTGGCGACGCCAATGCAGAAGAAGGAGATCTGCGCAGTGGCCGGGGTCGTTAGTCAGATAATAACTCTGATACATCTCTCACCCGACTTTCCCGCAGGCCCCAGAAACTCCGCCACATTTGTATCAACGGAGATGGCGGGAGGAGAAGGGCTTATAAAAGTAACATTGTGTTCGTCCGGGCCGGTCCGGGCGCCGCGCGGGGGTCGCCACGGGGTCAGCCGGCGCCGTAACAAGATAATGCCGCGAGAGAGGGAGAGAGCGAGAGAGGGGGGAGAGAGACAGAGAGAGCAGAGTGAGAGAGTGAGAGAGAGAGCAGAGTGAGAGAGTGAGAGAGAGAGCAGAGTGAGAGAGAATGCGGGGGGGG